TAGAAGCCAGTCTGGAAAAGAAACTGACACACTGTCTAAACGCAAATGCCCATAACAAAGATACAAAAAGAAACCAAAAAGTTTCTTTACTCTATATTCTATCTTTATTCTCCAGTCCAAGGAGTTATACCAGATTCTTGATCCTGATATTTTGAGTAACTCACTTGTTCTTTCTACTTTCCACTAAAATTTGTAAGCAATTAATTTCAAATTTTTGAATTATCTAAGGTGGACACATGGATTTCTTAATACTTTCCTGGTTTTTTTTTTTTTTTTAGTATTCTCTTTTTCTAAGCTTCAACCCTTACTTGTTTATATACTTTTTTGCATGTTTTGTGACTCTTCATTTAAATAAATGATATCCCCTGACATGTATCTCAATGTATACATAGGTATTAAAGTTCCTTTTTCAACAAATTAATATTCTTTAAAATTTGCCAACCACTCTTCAAAATGTGTACATTAAGAACTGAAAAGAGTTACTTTGTTAATTTTCCATTTTTAATTTGCATAATTGATTTCATTATTTCAGTCAAATAAAAAGTGAATTCAGCAGTTAAAAGTAATATTAAGATAAAAACATAAATATTTACAATGTCAAAAAAATTCGCCATACATAGAAAAGAGAAATATGTGTGATATTGAATATTTATACTCTTTAATGAATAACAGTTTTATTTGCAAGAAGACAAATGATTTTAATTGGTGGGTGCTGCTTGATCGTAAAAGTTGACAAAAATCCCTAAAATGCATGAAGAAAATGTAACCTTTCATTGCCATTTCTTCTAAGATAATTATACGACCATAAAATACATTCAAAATTTGTCTAATTAGAAGTCTTACTAATCATGGCATAATAGGATATAAAAATCACGAGTTTATTATAAAAATGAATATTCATATGTTTTATTAGTAATCACTAGATTATGGGATCTTTAAATGAGTGGAGACTGACTCATTTCTAGACAAAATGAAAAAAATTGTTAAAGAAGTTATAACTATTAAGGTGCTAGAGGGAGAAACGAATACCCAACACAGTTCTTTACCACCACACCACCAGCAAATACAAAAAAAAAAAAAAAAAAAAAAAAAAAAAAAAAAAAAAAAAAAAAAAATCACCATTCAAAATGCCATTCTGTCTGACAACTAGAGTGTGTTCCAGGACATTCTTCAAGTAGAAAAATCCAGTAAAAATGCCAAGGTGTGCAACAGATTAGCCACATCAGCTTTTAAGTTGTTGAGAATTTTACGGACTGCTTCCAATTTTGCTGCACCAGTTTGTAAATCCAGCTAGAGTGAATGAGGATTCCCCTTTTCCTACAGGCTTGCCAGCCTTTGTCAATTGTTTTCTGGATTCTAGACATTCCATTTTGGTGAAAATAAAATCTCAAAAAAATTTTAATATGCATTTACCTAATTGCTAAGGATGATAAACATTTTAAAGAAATTTCTTTGTTATTTTTATTTCTTCTTTCTTATTCAAAGCTTTTCTAATTTCATCTTTTGAGAATTTCATGCATGAATAACACATTTAAATTCTTTCTACCCCTACATTTCCCTGTTCCCACTGCTGCCAATATCCTCCCTCCCAATTCTCCTGATTGATCATTGTCTGTATAGTAAGAATATAATCAATATATAGTATAGACATAAATGTGTATTGTGTATACACATATGCAGTCAGCTACATTCATTTTATGTTGCACATATCTATATATTTGCTTGCTACTTAGGCTTGAATAATCTATCATGAGCATGGATCTGAAGGAGATTGATTTTTTCCTCTCTTAACACTCATTAATTTTCTGCCATCTCCTCATCTATGTCAAGGGATTTTGGAGGTTTCTCATATATCTGTTGGTTGATTAACTGGTGATTTCACTGTGCACATATTATTTAGATGACTAAAATTTTGAGTTTCATGTATACAACCTCCTCTAAAATATTGAAGAAATAACTACCTTCATGATGATGTGATTTCATGGCTCTTAATATTTTCTCCCAATTCAGCAATGTTTCCTGAACCCTAAGTATGGAATTTTGTGTTGTAGATCTACCAATCAGAGCTTGGCTCTTCATAGTAAGGCATTTTCTGTCACTTGAAGTGCTGTGGATTTCTGTAATGGTCTCCATGTGCTGTAGAAAAACTAGTCTCTTTACTGAGGGGCAAGAGCTATACTTATCTGTGGGTATAAGGTTTAAATATCTGGAATACAGTTTAAAAAGTGACAGTAATAGGATCTTGTTTAGGGTCCCTGACCTCATCAGGTATGGTTAAATGGCTAGGTTTGTGTTATCAGACATTAGATTCGTTCCCCTGAGTGAGGCTTAGGTACAGTTATGCAGCCCTTGTTATCTCAAAAAGGAAAGTACCACTATTACAACCTTGGGTGCATCATGCTGTTCTGGTCATTGCAGTGTTTCATAGGCTTTACATATTAGTAGGAATATCGGTGCTTTTTCTCTGGGAAGTTGTACCTTCAGATACTATGGGAGCTGGTACTCTGGTAGGAGGCTTCCACAGAAGTTGCAGTACTTCAGTACTCCAGTACTTCGGCTGTAGTACATACTGTATTCTCAACTTATAGAAAGCCATTCTGAGAAATGGCAATAGCCTATTTTATTTGGGGGAATCTCTTTGACTTCACTGATTAACTACTTAAAGCAATGTTTCCCATGCCTAGCACTGAGATATTTGTTAGATAGTATGTTAGGGATAACATTGTCTTCCCAGTGGCATAACAACACTTAAATTATTTACTTATATGTACTTGTGCACATGTACAGTATATATTGAGTCCAGATAAAATATGATTCTTTTGGCTTTTAAAAAGTTCTTAGTGTTATTTATCTCCCTCCTTTCCTCTCCCTATATAATGCCCTCATTTTCCTTTCATAATTATTCCTACTTTATTTTTCATCACTCAGCCCTTCATATTTATCTTCACATGTGATTTCTCTGTTTAGATCTGTAGCCCATTTTCAACTGGACCATTTGGTTTTTTGAGTTTTTTTTAAATTGGATTTTAAACCTTATATCAGATGTATATCTAGAATAGGTTCTTTTCTAATCTGTTTGCATCCTATTCACTAGATTGATTGTGTCCTTTTCTGTTAAAAGCTTTATATTTTATGAGGACCCATGGCCATATGTTGGCCTTAGTTCCAGAGTGAATGCTGTCCCATTTAAATGGTCTTTTGCTGTAAAATTACAGGGCATTGCCTATGTTTTCTTATAAAATATTCTATGTTTCAGGGTTACCATTGAAGCCTTTGAGCCATTCTGATATATAGATGACTAATTTAATTCTTCTACATGTGACATCCAGTCTTCTAAGTAACATTTGTTTTCAAGATGCTAAACTCCTTCAATGTCATATTTTGGCATTGATGTCAGATATAAGAAGGATGTAACTATATGTAATCATATTTTGAAATACTATATTGTTGTATTGATGCACATGCAGGTTTTTGTGCCAGTCATTGATGTTTTATCTATTATAAGTCTATAATATACCTTGAAATCTTGTATGGGAATCCCTCCAGAATTTCTGTTTTCCCTTATGTTTATACTTCATTAGCTATGTTCAATGCTATTCAATTCACAATAGCTGTGGAATTAAGACAAATTAAATGGTCTTGAGTTAATAGATAATGAAATTGTGATTCACTATGTTCATATATTCAAGAAAACTGAAATGATGTTTGAAGGTAAATGAATTGAGCTGGAAAATATTATACTGAATGATGTAATCCTTACTTAAAATCTCATATATTTTTTCTAATTTTTGGATTCCATATTTGAAAGTATAGATTTGAGTACATAACTAGTAATAATCACAGAATTCCAAATAGTATAAATAGACTGTGGGAGAAGGGACAAAAGAAAATCGAGGGAAAAATATGGAAATATATAGGCTTCATCAAATATGAAAAAGGAAAATGATTCGATTGAGCTTTAACTGAGGAGATAAAGGGAGAAAAACAATCAGTATTCCTAATGACTTGTAAAACCTGTGAACCGCAACAGTGACCAGTGGAAAATGGTCATGCCAATGGTGTAATAGCAGAAGTTTCTTATTGGGCATACCCAAAAGCTACCTAATTGGGTTTAGGTTTGTTCCATAGGTGGGAATTCAAGTCTTGAACTATAAACCTAATCCATGACCTGTGACTGTAGCAGAGTTTGCTCCTGCCATTTTCACAAAATTAGTACAACATGCAACTTGATTTTAAATATCTGTACCCACAAATAAATGTATCTCTATCTTCTTATCAAAGGAGCTTCTTTTTGTCACAGGTTAAGGTTATTACTGAGATACAGAATTGTCAAAATGCAGAGAATACCTGAATATGGAGTGTGCAACTTTTACTGACTTGGCCCAGCATGTCTCAGTCCCAAACCATGGAAGCCATGACCTTCGGCCTGGATGGGGGAGTGTGGACTTGGAAATTCCTAGCAACCCAACGTCGATAAATACCAGACACAGGCATCTTGTCATCTTTAGAGAGCTCTCAGTTCCATGCTGCAAAACTGGAGCCACTCCTTTATTCAGCATCTTCCTGGCTGTAATCTATCCATTCTTCCCTGACTCCAATACTTCTCTCCCATCTTCCTAGATGCTATCAGCAGATCTCTCTCAACTGTCCCTCCTCCTCTTGAACTCTCCTTGGATACTCCTCCCTCTGTCCTCACTTGGTCACATAGACTTAGCCCTTAGCCTTTGTGCAGTCCTATTCAAATGCTTAGTCTTTTAGAGATGCAAAACTAGGGGACATTCTTTACTGAGGCTATGCAATTCAACAGCAAATCAGCTAGCATCTGCAATACAATGCAGACCAGAGCCTGGAGGTTTGAACCTCAAGAAATTCCCTAATGGAATCAGTTCTCTGCTTCCAACAATATACAATATTGTGTCTGTACTATATTGTGCCTAAAACTCAGGATTAATTGCAGAAGTAGGATTAAAGAGATTTTAAGAGCCAGAGGACCCGGTTACCTTGTCCCAGTGATTTCTAGACATTGCAGAAAAGCTGAAGCCATGGATTATCAACACAGTGGTTTCTCAAACAACACCTGTAAAAGATCAAACCAGTTGACGTATTAACATAGACAGTGGAACCATCACAAAACTAGCTTTCAAATGAAGAGCTACAGACAATTGACAGCAATTGAGAGAAGAAAACAACAGTTTTCACAGGGACAAGTCCACTGTATGTATGAATATATATATATTCATATATATATATAACAAAAATATTGTACACATTTTCTTTTCTATATGGTAGCAAAATTATGACAATATTAAATAGACTCAAGTTGATATTACACTAACAATATCATTAAATGATGAGAAGAAAGTCTAGATTTGAATTTGAGAAGTGTAAATCGTATCTTACTCTTTTTTATCTAAATGCATAACCATCCCTTATCCCTGAAGCATCTCCCCCAAGAAATCAATTAAAAAACAAAACAAATGAACAAACAAATAAAAAAAACCCTCACATCTCCATCTTTCTGACACTTGTTCATTAATTTTAGTGGCACTGGGTGCTGCGGTGTGTCACACAGTATACCCTTTTGTCCAATCACCTCCATCCACAAAATGTTCATTGTGATGAGTCATTGGTCTGGCTCAAGTCCTCTGACACACCATCATCACTGGACACTCACTGAAACTCCTCTTGGATATCCTGCTTTTGCCCCAAGCCATGAAGATCCTGCAGTTATTGTTCCACAGGACTAGCCCCTTCCACACACACTGCCCAGCTCTCATGTGAGGTACTATCATTATGATTAGAGTGAAGAACTCTGCCTGGAGTACCTGATCCAGTGAGCCTCTACTTTAATCTTTGTGGCCAATAGCCACCTTACTTGTCATCCTCCAGTCCTGTTGGACTTGATTCTCACTTTGGGATCTTCACACAAATTGCTCTCCTAGTCTGGAGAAATCTAACTCATTTTTAAATTCTTTGCACAAATGTCATTTCTCTCAGCAAGTTTCCCTGACCTTCAATCTGGTATAAAATTTCTTGATATATTCTCTTGTACTATTCTGAAATTTTAAAACTTGATAGTCTGGACTCTTGTTTGATGTCTTCCTTTCCAAATTGCATCAAGAATTACATATCCCTGTGGGCTTTTTCTAATACTACATCTAATGCTTCTAGGGCAATGGCTGACCTATTATAAGTATTTAATTTTTTTTTATAATCCACAAAAATGTCATTAGTTTTATTAAAGTTGCATGAACAAATTATAGCATAATAAATACCATGGTTTGATAAGATGATACAAGAAATTTTCTTGTAGAATAGTTTGCAGTTATTATCAAAGACTTATTTGGAGCAAAAGATCTATATTCCCATTTAATTTAAATAAATATCTTTAGAAATGTCTAGTATTAGAGTATTTATTGTGACATGATACTACTTCTTTCTTGTTATCTGCAAGCACAGACATTTTTTTTCAGAAAAATAGCTCTTGTGTATCAGAACTTATTAGCACAAATTTATTTCATCTTTTTCCCTATCTGCTAACACATTTAGTATTGCTCAGTTACTTTACGGTTCTTTCAATCCATGCCATTTGCTGTATTCAACTTCAGCTGCTGTCTAGAATCTTACAGTTTACAAATGAGGATTTAAGAACTGGTGGAAAAGCATTTCTTTAATAATCAAATTCTTCTACCCTCTGCAACACTTTACAGTCTGCTTTAGACTTCAGTCCATAGGCTAATATTTCAAAGGGCATAAGCAATTCTTCCAGGTTCTGGCTATTACAAATAATGCTGTGATGAACATCATTGAACAGAAATCCTTGCTGTATGAATGTGCTTCTTTAGGGTATATGCCTTAGAGTGGAATTGCTTCATCTTGTGATAGACTGATTCCCCTTTTCCTGAGGAGTCACCATACTGATTTCCACAGCGGCTGTACAAGCTGGCACTCCCACCAGCAGTGGATGAGTGTTCCTCTTTCTCCACATCCTCTCCAGCATAAACTATCATTGGTGTTTTTGATTTTAGCCATTCTGACAGGTGTAAGATGGTATCTCAGAGTTGTTTTGATTTGCATTTCCCTGATGGCTAAGGATGTTGAACACTTTCTCATGTGTCTTTCAGACATTTTAGATTCCTCTATTGAGAATTGTCTATTTAGTTCTGTACCCACTTTTTGATTGGATTATTTGGTGTTTTGGAGACTAGCTTCATGAGTTTTTTTGTAAATTTTAGAGATCAGCCCTCTGTCAGATGTGGGGTTGGTGAATATATTTCCGCAAACTGTGGTCTGTCACTTTTGTCTTGCTGACTGTGTCCTTTGCCTTACAGAAGCTTCTCAGTTTAAGGAGGTCCCATTCATTAATTACTGATCTCAGTATCTGTGATACTCCTGTAATTTTCAGGAAGCAGTCTACTGTACCAATTTGATCAAGTGTATTTCCTACTTTCTTTTCTAATAAGTTCAGTGTGGCTGGATTTATGTTGAGGTCTTTAATGCATTTGGACTTAACTTTTGTGCATGGGAATAGACATTGATGTATCTGCAGTCTTCTACATGCCAGCATCCAGTTATGCCAGCACCATTTATTGAAGATGTTTTCTTTATTCCATTGTATACCTTTAGCTTCTTTGTCACAAATCAGGTGTTTGTAGGTGTGTGGGTTAATATCTGGGTTTTCAATTCGATTCCATTGGTCAACCTATCTATTTTAGTGTGAATACCAAGCTGTTTTCAGGACTATAGCTCTATAATAGAGCTGGAAATCTGGGATGGTAATGCCTCCGGAAGTTCTTTTATTGTACAGGGTTGTTTTGGCTATCCTGGGTCTTCTGTTTTTCCATATTGAGAATTTTTTTCAAGTTCTGTGAAGAATTGTGCTGGGATTTTGATTGAGATTGCATTGAATCTCCAGATTGTTTTCAGCAAGATTGCCATTTTTACTATGTTGACCCTACCTATCCAAGAACATGGGAGATCCTTCCATTTTTCTGGTATCTTCTTGGAATTCTTTCTTTTTTTTTTTTTTCAACTTTTTTTTATTTGAATTAGGAACAGGATTGTTTTACATGACAATACCATTTCCCTTCTCCCACCCGTCTTTCCCCTACCCGCGACCCCCCCACTAAAACCTTATCTGTCACATATCTTCTCTGTTCCCCGTGGATGGTGAGGCCTTCCATAGGGTGTCATCAGAGTCTTTTGTTTCCTTTGGGGTAGGGTCTAGGCCCAACCCCGTGTGTCTTGGCTCAGGGAGTATTCCTCTATATGGACTGGGTTCCCAAATTCCACACCTATTCTAGGGATAAATACTGGGCTTCTACAGGAGGTCCCATAGATTTCCAAGGTTTCCTCACAGAAACCCATGTTCCTTGGGTCTGGATCAGTCCCATGCTGGTATTCCAGCTATCTGCATCTGGGTTCCGGTTCAGATTGGTGATAAGTTATGGGTGTCTGCTTCTACTTCCACCAGATGCCGGATGAGGGCATATAAGTCTGACATCAATCTCATAATCAGGGGAGGGCATTTGAGGTGGCCTCTCCTCCGTGGCTGAGATAATTAGCTGGTGCCATCTTTGTAGATCTCCAGACATTTCCCTATTGGCTGATTTCTCTGTAAACCAAAAGTGTCTCCCTCTATTATATCTCTCTTCTTGTTATCGTGTATTCTTCCCCTGACTCATATTTTCTGTTCCCTCATGTCCTCGGCATCCCACTTCCTCTCTCCTTCTCATTCTCCTAGCTTCTCCCCCCACCTCTTCCCATGCTCCCAATTTGCTCAGCAGATCTTGAGCCTCTCCCCTTCTCCAGGGGACCATGTATGTCTCTCTTAGGGACCTCCATGTTTATTAGCTTCATTGGCAGTGTGGATTGTAGGCTGGTAATCCTTACTCTATGTCTAAAATCTGCATAAGAGTGAGAATATACCATATTTTTCTTTTTTGCGATTGGGTTACCTCTCTCAGAATGGTTTCTTCTAGATCCATCCATTTTCCTGCAAATTTAAAGATTCCATTGTTTTTTTTTTCTTCTGAGTAGTACTTCTTTGTCTAAATGTACCACATTTTCTCTATCCATTCTAGGGGCATCTAGGCTACTTCCAATTTCTGGCTATTACAAATAGTGCTGCTATGAACTCTTTCTTTAAAGACTCAAAACTCTTATGATACAGGTCTTTCACTTTTTTGGTTAGTGATTTATATTTTAGACATAGAATACAGGATTACCAGCCTACAATCCATACTCCCAGAGAAGCTAGTTAAATAAGGAGGACCCTAAGAGAGACATACATCATCCCCTGGAGAAGGGGAAAGGGACCAGATATCCTGAGAAAATTGGGAGCATGTGGGGAGGGGACAGGGATCTAGGAGAATGTGAAGAGGAGAAGAGGAGGGGTAAGGAATACATGGTGGAACAGGGAGTTTGAGTTGGGGGAAGAACGGAATAGAGCAAGATAAGAGATACTGTAACAGAGGGAGACATTATAGATTTAAAAAGAAATCAGGCACTAGGGAAATATCTGGAGATCTACAAAGATGACACCAGCTAAAAATCTCAGCAACAGAGGAGAGTCTACCTTAAATGCACTCTCCTGATAATGAGATTGATGACTAATTCATATGATATCCTATAGCCTTCATCCAGCAGTTGGCGGAAGTAGAAGCAGACACCCACAGCTAAACCTTGAACTTAACTGAAATCCAGTTGCAGAGAAGGAGGATTGATGAGCATAGAAGTCCATACCAAGCTGGTGAAACCCACATCAACAACTGACCTGGACAAGGGAGAACTCTTGGTCCCCAGATTGATTGCTGGAAAACCAGCATCGGACTGATCCAGACTCCCTGACTGTGCATACCAGTGAGGAGACCTTGCAAATCTATGGGGCCCCTTGTAGTGGATCAGTACTTATCCCTAGCAGAGGAATGGACTTTGGGAACCCATCCTATATAGAGGGATACTCCCTGACCTTAGACACAAGGGGGTTGGCATAGGTCCTATCCCAAAGGATATGACAGACTTTGAAAACCCCCTATGGAAGGCCTTGCCCTCCCTGTGGAGCAGAAATGGTACAGG